TTAAGATTTGTAAAACCGAAAGTTGTTAACCTATGTTTTGAGAAAGAGTACTCAGAGTGCTCGGCATCAAAAAACGTTTATGAGTGCAAAAAGTTTTGATCAAAGCCCACCTTTGCAAGGTTATTTTCCACTTGCTAACTATTGATTGCGGTTCACTGATGCCGAACTGCTCCCTTCGTCGCTTATTTTCATTAGATGCTGTTGTCAGCCGTGAAGACTGCAAGACCTCCAATTTGCGAGATAAAGTCAACAAGCCGAATATTTTTGCACGTTTTCATTATTTGATGGCTTTCTCTCATATTTTTTTGTATTTTCAACAACGGCTGCGACCTATACAAAGCACAGTGTAGCATACAATGGATATGGACTAGGACATCTATCGGAATAAAACTTTTGCTGATTTCGGAAAGCTGCTTAGCTATTTGTAACAGCCTAATAGGACGTTAATTTTTCTTGTCAGTATGTACCAAACTTCAAAATTTAAGACACTTGAGACCAATGCATAGGTTACCGATAACAGGCCTCTCACTTTGAATGCACAAGATCTAATCGCTGTGTGTTGACATCAGTTTGAGAGGAGACTGGCGACATAAAATCTCCACAAATTTTATGAAAACTCCTCCCTGCCAGCCTAACGAAGATTGCAAGCATTGGCATAAAACAATTTTGCTCTCGAGAAAACCTTGTAGGATTAGGATTTCCTGCAGTAGATAATTATCATGCAGAATATTTCAGATAACTTGAACCACTAACAATGTTTAAAACCACTTGTGTGTAAAATGTTACGGAATCAATATAATTTCCTACTTGGAGCGCCAAGCGGCCACTCAAGACCAACATCCAGTCAGAGCCGAAACTGGAATTCTAAAATCTATCGGGTTAAACTGCAATGAAGTGTTACTGAAGATGTTCTGTTCAATTTAGGGTAACAGTTTGTACGCAGTTTGTATAAGAAAGCATTATGCATTTTTTTCATAAATTTAAATCTGGATCCCAATCAATGAATGAAAATAACAGTATTTTATATAAAGTAAGCCAACCTTCAAATTTCCTTAATTCTACACTATACATCAAAGGTGTACCAATTATGTTTAAATAAAAACAAAACAAGCAAGGCATTAAGAACAGTTTGGCTGATACGCTATAGAAAGTTTCAAAATAGGGAAAAGAGTGAGGTAACACAGCAAAAGCAAGTCATTTCCGTTAATGAGAATCCAAAATTTGTTTGTCTAATTTGTTCAGGAAATCACTACATCTTCGATGAGGGGAAACAATGGCTTTTACATATTGCTAATAAATACTTTGTAATTTACAGAATTTTCATGATTACATCGCTTAGAATAAAACCTTCAGTGAACTAAGCAGATCCAATGATTTGAACTATGAGTGGAAAATTTGATTCTCTCCTTTCATTAAAAAATATCAAGCAAATTCCTTAATTGAACTTTAGAAAACTTATTACAAATGTTCGAGTGCCTAAGTTGAGAGTTCATTATGAAAGCTACTCTTCAAACACCTAATCTTGAATTGTTATGAATGCTGGTGATCCAAAACTTGGTCTCAAAGACTGCTATTCAATGAAATGAATTGGAATTTCAAATGATGATGATTTGAGGAAGTTTTTAGTGATGGTCTGATCCACGTATTTCTGAATAGATGTATTCGAAAATATAGCAGAGTTTTGCACGCATTTACTCTTATCAGAAGGCCTATATGTGCGAAATTGCGGTACTTGTTACGTATCCTATTCAAAGAGTTTGGAGAAATTATAAAGTTCTTTGAATTGAAGCCCGTAACAAGAATAATTGGAGAGTCATCTATTCTTGTCGTCTCTCTCTCTCATAAGGAACATCACCAAGAATAGAAACATTAGCCGCGACAAAAAACTTGGTTTTAGCTCCACTGTTTAATCATGACGTTTTTCATCCTGTTTGAGCCAGATCAGCCATGAAATTCCTGTTCGTTTTGCTTTGAAACGGTACATCCTCTAATTTTTCGCTCTACCTCCATTTGCGCGAAACTGCCCGAATTAAAATAATATCTTTCAACAAGAATCCTGTGCACACCCACCTGGCCTGCTGTTTACAAATTGTTCGTTTATTGCAGGCTCGTCGGTCACCTTTGTTGCATAATTTTTTTTTCCCTGAGGATGGTTTCAAATTTTACTGCCTATTGTAATTTGTAAGTTATTCAGATACAAAACTCAGCAATGTGCAAAACATTTCTGTAGTTTCTTTTTTATTGCTTTCACAGTGTTTCCCTCTTGAATTCGTTTTTATTTTCTTGTGAGCGTGAAGCGATTTCTGATCCATTGTGTTACGTTATTCGTTATCCGAGTTAACTTTGAAGGGGTCTCCTGAAATGTCGCAACCGACGGCTGAACAGACTGTTGTACCTCCACTACCTAAACCGTCCACTAATCCAGGTGAGTTTTCACATTGCAGCCATCATCGTACCAAGAATATATGACTTTTCTGCTCATATAATATCTCACTCCAAATTACTAAAGATTGTTTTATTTTACCTTTTTAAAGTCTTAATTTAACCTCTCATATTCCTTTCTAGAGTAATGTATATCTATAACTATCTGTTAACAGTTTTCTGTAATAACCTTTAGAGCATATAATATCGCAAGTTCAAATTATTGTATCCGTTCTATTCAGGAAGTTATGAGGAGCTCCATCGAAAAGCCAGAGATGTCTTTCCAACTTGTTTTGAGGGTGCCAAAGTAATGGTCAGCAAAGGCTTAAGTTCTCATTTTCAGGTGAGCCCACATCTTAATCAATTGCCCTCTTATCTTTGACAAAAGATGTCTTGTTCAGCACTTCGCTAAGTGCTGGGGCAGTGCCGATGCTCAATATGAGCATGTAGTAGAAGTAGATGGGATTTATTGTTAGTACTAAAAAAGTTTTTAATCTTCTTTACGTTCGCTAGATCTTTCTGCCTCTCGTTTATTACATTGTTCTTCAGATTCTAGCATGAACAACTATATATCGCACTCAGTTTTTGAACTTCTTTACTTACGTGAGACAGTGTTTCCACATACACAACTATTTTCTCTTCTCAAACTTTGCCGATTTCTTCGTTAGCGAACAATCAGAGTAATGCATCCACATTGTACGAGATACTTTACTTTAAAAGCTTGGTGACCATTAGCAGACATGCTTAGTTTCTGCGAAATTGTGCAGCATGGTTATTTATTCTGAAATCCAAAGCAATATTGTTTTGTTCTCAGGTGATTTATGGGGGTGATCACAGGAATGCAATGAGGTTTGTTTACTGCAATCTCCCATAATAGGTATTATTGAGTATATTGCTATGATATTCGCATTCCGCAGCGTAAGCAACTCAACATTGACATTTTTGGCGAAGTTGCATGAAAATAGTAGTTTACACCGCATAACTACCTTTGAATAAGATGCCAAAATACAATATGAATAAGTCTTATAATCTCATTCTCTCCGTTAAACTTCATACCCACGTATTTGCCACATCCCTACAAATAGAAAATCTAGGTACGATTGTAAGAGCTAAGTGCTCATGATCGAATAAAAGCGTGGAGGATTTTATCTGGTCATTCGCCATATAATATATGTTCGTTTTCATACTTTCATGGACCAGCTAACTCACTTTTTTTCTCTCATCGTTTGATTAACATCTAAGTGATGAGCTATTTGTGCAGGAAGATCAGTTTAGGTTATCGAAGTTCATGTAGCCACTAGGCTGCTAGCTGATGATAACCTTAATGCCAACAGTA